AAAGGGGTTAAAACATCTCTTTAGTCCAGACTAGCTCCCATCATTACAGTCTGAAGATCATATTTCATGGAAATTAGCAGAGAGTTATGGGTTTTTTCCTCCTGAAATGAGCATTAGGAAGTCATTTCCAGGGATTTACTTCCGCTGCAGGACCCTTTCTTGCCAAGCGCTTGCTCTCCCATCAACTGCACTCTTCCCCAGCCCAACCCTGAGCAAAACTGGAGGCAGGTCCTAGTTGAGGTATATCTTCCTGGCTATGTCAGGGAATCCTCTTCATTACAGTGTTCATCGAAGCTGAACGTGAGCATCTCTATAGCTGTTGTTCCCTTAAGTAGGCAGCGATTCAGGGGAAATTGTGCTCCTGTCAATTAGGGCTATTGCCTCTTGATTAAATTCTCCTCCAGAGGCTCACGGAGGTGCATGCAGCAGGGAAAACAAGGCATGACAAGAAAGGCAACCCCACACAGGCAGTTCCCGGAAGGGATGCAACAACATTCACTTAAACTTTCACAAAAGGGAAATTCTATCTAACTGCTGACAAACCTGCAGAATTTTAGCCCAAGCAGTGAATGCTTGAGCAAGCTTTGCAAACCTTTGAAAGTGGGGAGGGATCTCCTGCTTGAGACAGGCAACATATCCAAGACAGCATTAGCTGTGATGGAAAAAGCTGTGCTCAGCTACAGCTGTTTACTCGCTGAAAATTCGTTTCCCCCTCTCCTGGCTCAAAGAGACAAGAGGCACGACTGTGTACCGTGCTGTTTGTACAGTGGCTTTCCAGAGCAGAAAGGAGGTGTATTTCTTTTTTTATTACTCTCCCTGTAATTCATCGTGCTTGAATAAATGGAGCGTGAGCCTGAGGCATTCAAAAGCAGAGCGTGTTTGGTTTTTAGGCTTTCTGGCTGTAGCTGCACAGCGAGTTAATAATTAAAGGGAAGGAAAAACAGACTTCCTGGGGAAACCAGTGGCTATAGCACTTGCACAGCACCTGTGTTTCCACGTAAATGCCATACATCCCTGCATGTGTCTGCCTGGGGTTGTCCCTTTCTTGCCATTCTGCTACAAGTCTTTCTCCCTCTATCATGGGTCTTGTCCCACTCTGGGAGGCCAGGAAATATTTGTAGGAGCCCAAAGACAGAGAATAAAAGATCAGGTCTCTTGACCAGCCAGCTGCCAAGCTTTTATCTTTGGACTCCACTCAGCATCCTCATTGCAGGGTGGCTGAGGCAGCAGGGGTGGCCCCCTAACCCCCGGTCTGGCTGGTGCCCCTCTGTGCTTCCCCTCACTGCCCCAGCACCCCAGCTCAGCCCCAGCACTGAGTGAGAAACGCCCTCCCACACTGCTGGATCCTACCCTGTAGTTTCTTACCTATGGATAGTTATTTTGTCCATTCAGGGGTACCTGAGTCTTGTCTGTACAAACCACCAATGTTACTAAAAAAAAAAAAAAAAGTTTAATTACATGATTGTAATTGCTTGTTACATCTACACGGCTTTAAAAAATTGTAATAATCCCCATATTGCCTTTCTTTATGCCCACACTGACTGGTTTTATTGGCTGCTTGTCCATCTCCTTTCTTCTGAGCAGAGCTTGGGGTGCCAATTGGGGTGCCTCCTCCTGAAGCCTTCCTAGGGCTCCCAGGACATTGCACCAGTACAAGTAAGACCAAGGACAACATGTTTGGTTAGTAAAATCCTACCTCAGCTCCATAAATCCTGGAATATTACCTAGGAAGTGGTTTTGCCCGAATACTCTTCTCACTCTGCTTCTGGAGCGTGCTCTTGTCTGGGTGTCAGGCTCCTGCTGA